TCGCTGGTAGGTTAGAGGCCATCGCTAGTAGGTTAGAGGCCATCGCTAGTAGGGTGTCTTCCGTGCAGGACGTCGATCCACTCGACGCCCCGGTTTCGTCCTCTCGATGTTGTCCGCCTCTGTAGCCATCTTCTCCGGCCATGGGAGGAATCCATCGGTTTGGCCACCAAAGCGTACAATCTGGTCCTCCAACACATGGAAGTGTTTTGGGTGTCTTTTGAGCGTCTTTATCTGGATGTTTCGAAGGTTAGCTGCATGTTTATTTGCCTGGCTTTATCTGGCCTGGATGCCCTGCTGCAGCTTCACCTTTTCAGCAAATATGTAAACATGCACAAAAAACAAAAAGGCCCCAGCTTGCTAGCTTGCTGTGGTTGTCAGGCAAAGTGAAGAACTCTGACAAACACATACCAAGTGAGCGAGGCCATTTTGGTAGGGTGACATCACCTCAGTCATATTGATCCATATGACATATCCCTGGCCGAGAGCTGTTCAAACGTTTTTGTAACTTAAGTACGTGCTTTCTTTTCTGTTTGCTTTCCTTTCTTGCTCCCAGTGCCCTCCCTTTCTTTTCCGGATGGTCGACCACTAGGTCAACCTTGGAAGAAGAACCCGGAAGAATTGTGGATTAGCAACAGGCTCTCCTTGGCCACTGGATGAGCAAGCGCTGGTTCAAAGTTCTTGATGCCTTGCTGCGTTGCTCCGCTCTGCTTCGCGAAGCTGAGCTCGGGCATAGTTGGTGGCATGGAGCGCTTTCAAAGTGCCACAGGTCCGTATGAGGCCTTCAAACCCTTTGACCACGAGCTTGCAGTTCCCAGAAACAAACAAACATGGCCACATGGTGATGTGTTGTAGCGCCCCCATACCGCACCAACAAACATTAGACATACCACCAAATCACGTGTTACAGTGGCACTAGGGGCTTGTTGCTGCAACAAGCCCAAAACCGCATCCTCGGCCTTTGCTTGGTCATCTATGGCTGACATCCCGACCCACCCGATAACTCCCGAGAAACTTTCTACTAGGAGCAAGGACGCTACTAGTAAGTACTAGGAAGAAGAGGCTACTATGAGCGAAGGGCATTTTTACTAGGAGCAAGGACGCTCTGAAAAAAACAACGAACAAAAACGAACCAAACACGATCGATTCAGCGATCGATTCCACGATCTCGTCCCACGATGGCCCAGGCCTCCGGCCAGACCGATGTCACCTTCTTCAAAATCCACTTTTTCATCCAAGTTCAATGAGTTCATGAACTTGGCCCAGCGTGTCATCTTCACCGCCTGGTGACACATGAAAAGAAAGCAGTCTGAGAAAAACATATGGCCGAAGACCCTGTTGGGTGCACATGGAGCCAACGGCCCACATGGAAAACCAACATATCTTTGAGGCATCATGCTTCGGCGATGTTTCTCCTCCTAGTGAGTCAGCTCTTCTGGGGTCTGCATTCTGAACGTTGCAAAGAGTCACCTCCAATCGAGAAGCAATCAGGCAGCATGCGAGTCTCTCAACGACGCATGTCCCTTCAACCCGTTTAAGGTCCCGTTTCAAGGGACACGCGTCTCTCCGTCACTCTCTGGAGTCGTCAGACACTCTCGTATCACGAGTCATTTGTTTTTGCATGTGAGGCCCATGTCAGTGCGCCTTAAATGTCTCGATGATGATCTCGCCCCGAGCCAGCCTGTTTCACATGTTTCACAAGGCTTAGCTCTACACTGTGGATAGATCTTATTGAATCACTCATGCTGAATAAATCCCCCAAGCCTGGTATGTGAACGACCATCCGGGTAGGGGGGTTCTATTTATCAACTCATATCAACTCTCGACATTTACTGTATCTAAAGTTCTGTACTCCTGGCAAGCTACGGCCTTTCAGGGACACGCCCCACCTGGCATGTCCCTTGATGTCTGCAGCCAGGGAGGTGTAGACGCCACAGAACTGCCTGGGAAAGGTGAAGACCCAAGTCCCGAGCCATTCAAATGGTCATACGCTCTTGGTATTGGGTTCAGTTGTCTGCCATTGATGGTCTCTGAACTGGGGGGAAGTCTGGGAAAGGAAAAAATTGGCTTGTCTGTTCAGGCACGCAGGAGCCAGCCCCACAAAACGAAGGGCGCTGCGACCTTCCACGAACCTGCAAAGGATGTCCAAGTGGCGAAACCAAGAGATTGAAAAAGAAGCTGTAGACCATCATCATGAACAGGAGGACGACCTAATTGGATCGGAAAACCACCAGCACATTGGATGCGGTGTTTTGATCTACAAACTTTAAATCATGCTCAATTAAGAAAAAAATCACATACCGTCCTCAGCCATGGGCCTCTGTTAGCTGCGACCAGCTGAACAATGTAACAAGCGGCACTTTTTCTATTTGTTCGCGCATCTTCGCGCATGGCCTGGCTTTAGGAAGCTTTCCGAACCAGAACGCCAGAAAACAACCCGCAACACATCGCCGTTTCCTCGGGTTTGGGGGTGTTTTTGGGAGACGTCTGCGGCTCCACCGAGGCGCGATGAGCAACAAAGGGCTCTGCTCGGCCAGGCCCTGAATGGCGCCCTCAGCTCAGTTTGGTGCACTCTGCCAGAGGGCCTAGACCTAGACCCAAGTGAACTGTGGAGCAACAAAGGAAACACCATGCCAAATGCAAGACTCCATGAGAAGAACACAGACTTTGCGTGGAAGCATTTGGAAACCTTTGGATGTTTCAAGATCCTGCAGGCTCCATCTTGGCTCCAAGTGTCCAAGTCCATAGCTCCAAAGGCCAAACGGATCAGAGTGCTCATCCTGGACCCCAAGTCTGCCCAATCCTCAGCTCTAGAATCGTCACCCCCAAACTGGATCGGACAATGCGTTGCCAACATCAAATATGGAAATGCTTCCGCCTACAGTCGAATTGCCCATCATGCCCCACGCATGGTGCGACAAAAACGTCGAATTGCCCATCATGCCCCACGCATGGTGCGACAAAAACAGCACTAGCAAGGACTAGCGCGGGGTGAGTTTCACAGGCGCTTACCCATCATGCCATGCCAGCTTGAGTTTATCATTGGGATGTTGTGGGTTCCGCATCTGTTGCACTCGGAAGTTTAGACAATGCCAACGAACGAGGGATACGTTTTCCGACAAGTAAAATGACATGCATGCATACGCCCCACTAGTTCTTCCTTCTTGTTTCTTAACGAGGAAGTTGGTTGAACAACTGTTTCCTCGTAAGTTCGGGACAAAGTGTATATATATATAGATACACTTCGCTTGATGAGGATTAATTATATAAATTCCACCCTGGTCGACCACATTTTATACCAAAACCTCAAGTTGGGACACGAGTGACTTCGAGTAGAAAACACATGGGTCAAGAAACTCCTGCACCGCCTATATCCCCTTCCACCAATCGATAAATACGGGTGCCTCAAGTTTGGAGAAAGAAGAAAAACGCCGATGCTTTTCATAGTGTTCCTTTTCTCATGGCTCTAGTCGGAAGGGCATAGCAATCTTGGTGAGATGTTGGTTCCCTTCAATCAAGATGACAAAAGGACTGTCAAGCCTCCTGCACTGTCTAGTCGTATAAAAACTTTGTACCCCTCGTTTCCCCCCGTTTGTCATATTGAGGCATGTTTATTGTAGATCGCCATTACTCCACCATGCGTCGGCACCAGTCACGGCAGCTACCTGCAGGCTGGTAGGCGGTCTCCAAACTCTCGAAACGACAGTTAGCTTTCAATCAGTAGGTTTAGACACCTTAAAGCTTATATAGTCGTTATATTATACAATATATATATATATTTATATACCTTGCTTGTCATCTTTATTTCTACAAACTTAAGCCAAAACTCATCATAAAACCCTCTCTGGTCTGAGCGCACCTTAGTCAGTGACTTAGGCATGTATACAACACAAGATAGAACACTTGTGAGTTTGCAGCTTCTCCCTCTCCAGCCCTCTGTTGATATATGAGAGCATTTTTTCTTTCTGTCGACCCTTTAGCACGTCCAAAGTAACAAACTCCTTCTTTGCTCATCTAGGTTGTGGCCTCGCGTTCCATGCCGGAGATGGCAACAGCGAAGGTAAAAATGATGAGGAAAACCACGCCCAAGCACAAAATCACCTGCGCAAGAAGTCGGCACAACCTGTTTGAAGCTCACAAAATGTCGTTTCAAGTTCGGAGAAATGATCTTCCAGAGCATTTTGGGACTTGAAGCATTGCACAAAAACTGATGTTCATCCCCTCTCGACCACTTGAGTCCTGTGAACTCATCATCTCAGCCACGGCCGGGACTGACTCCCGCACCTGTTGAATGGCATGCGTCACAAGGACTCGATACTCTGAAAGCTTGATGGAGATGCTACCCATCTCGAGGATGAGAGTCACATACCTCGCGAAGAATAGACACAAATGAGCAACGGTCATTTGATCGGCGACTTGCCGCGGATACCCTATCATTCCGTTTGGAGACCTTCTCGTTCTCCACAGGTTTGGCGTGGTTTGGTGTGTTTCCAACTCTTACAGCCACTGTCCATCAAGTTCTGCTTCAGCTTCTCAAGCGGCCTGCCAATTCTGACTTGCCTTGATCTAGCACCATGTATTTAACAAAAGAAAAATGAAAGAACACGGTATCATTTAGGCATCGTTCTGGGCAACCTTTTCAGCAGCAAACGTTGGCCGACATGGTTGGGAGATGTTGGGAGTGTAACGAGACAGAATACCTATAATAAGGGGGCATGTGCTACCAGGTCTGCAGCGAACCTTGTGTTGGACATTGGGATCAGCAAAGGTCAAACGACTCAATAACAGGTGGCCAGGCTTTCTGACAGAGTTTGGGTACAAAGCTACAAGACACAGCACACCCTTGCAAACACAACACTGGCCGAGTTGTAATGCAATGAGCATTAATAAGGTATCGCTGTTTCTTGGATACCCTATTGTTTTGCAAGGCGTTGCTGCCATTAAGCATGGGCAATTGACTAAAATCAGCATGCGCAGGTTCTGATCGACGCTCTAATGGCACACATGCACAAATGGCAGAAGTTGAGGTGCACAGACTCCCCACATCTTTGGTTTGGTGATGTTTGATGATGTCAATAAACAATGGCAGCGTGCGGCACATGGCACCCAACAGAGGTGGTTGACATGGTGTAAAGGTTGGTGCTATCTTCTCTCTCAAATCGCTGTGGATGAGAACCCGGGTTTTGTAGGCCAAGCGGCAGGAAGACACCAAAGGTCACCAAGATTTCGTAGGCCAAACCTTCAGCATGCGAGTTTTGAGGGCTGAGCGAACTCTCGATCGGTAGGCCGGCTTGTTTGCATGTGCTCAGTGCTTACCTCCCAAAAGAAGAACTTACTCTACTTGCACAAGAAAGGGCCTCAAGAAGCTTCTGTTCACCTGGTCATTTGTTAAGACCTAGCCACCCTGGCCGCATCTGGCCGCCCTAGCTGCCATGCAATTGCTTCCAAGTGGCTCATCTGGTCCGTCCAGCCATCGCAACGGAAAGAGAAGACCTCCTGCGGCGGTCAAAATGGCTTAAGAGCACCCAATAAGATAAGTCCTCAAAGTAACCGATAAGTCCTTTGTTTGGCCACCCAAACACAGCTAGCATGGAGATCCTTCGTCTTCTGGGTGGGGTGAAGAAAACGGGATTCTGAGTGATTTTCCCGTGATTTTCACCGTATGCACATGAGCATGGATTGCATCGAGGAAAGACACTTTCAGGAAAGGTCAATGCCAAAATGGGACAACTGATCCTAAAATGAAACCGCATGGACAGAAATGTCGCTGCAACTCTTTAAAGCTATGAAGCTTGCCATCATTCACATGTACTTGAGGAGTGAGTAAGGTGTTGCTCACTTCTGGCTGACTAAGGCAGGGAGATGATATCATCTATGGTAACAGGTAGAAACTGACCAGCAACATATAGCAACATACAGTACAAGTGTTAAACCAACATACAAGTTCAAACAGTGAAGCAAAGTAGAAACCAACTACCTCAAACATAAACAGACCGCCAGCATGAATGAACAAACATGACAACCCAAGTGTGCACATCACAACAGCTTTTTCACAACAATCTTGCTCGATGAATCCATTGACTTTCTCAACTGTCCCACTCACACAGTCCCTCTCTCGGTCTCTCTCAGCCTTACTTACAAAGGGCTTAAAACTTAAAAATCACTAAGACATTCCTAGCACCAGCCCACTAAGCACCAAGAGATTGTAGACTTTGTAATGACCGACCAGCCTCTGTAGCGGTGAGAGGGAGAATAACAGCCCAGGCGACCATCCCCGCCTCCGAGGACCCCATGCAATGGAACATGGGCTCCACCTCGGCGGAGCGGAAACGCGCCAAGCGAACCCGAAAAACGCCAAAAAAGGTTTGTTTTTTCTCATCCAGCCTCTCAAAGCACGTCTTGACTCCCAAAAGGCTTTAGTCATCTTTAGTCCATGATGTTTTTTTCAGCCGTTGCTGATGGCACTAGAGCCAGTATACAAGATCCTCTCCGAGGGCATGCGATCTGATGGGTTGAGCAATTGAGCAATCTTGGAATCTTGTCTATGATCCCCAAAACAAAGGTCACCAATCAAAGAAAAGCTCCAAGTGAGCAAAAAGCACATGGCAACGGCGAATTGCGAATTGCACCACTGAACTGCCGTGCGCAATGAACTGCCGTGCCTCCGACCCCACATTCATTCAGCATGAAAAACCATGCAGAAAGCAGGTGTCAAACCTTCCCAAATCGCAGATCTTCAGCTCACTCAATTCCACACCCACTGCCACGCACGCGAATTCCATGCCCCTGAGTTTCCGCGCGGTCATCATGGCCAACATGGTGAGGCAAAGCAGCAAGCTGATTTTCGCTGCGCCACGCGTGAGGTACTGAGGCAACCACAGCCCGCAGCCTTTCACCAACGCCTTCAAAGCGCCGTGCGAAACGGGCTGTTTCAACGCTGCTTGAACGTGGGTCGGCCAAGCTGAGTGATGTTGCTGTTCCGGTCCAGAGAATTCCATTTGATTCAACATAGCTAAATGAACAGATTTTCAAACAATGATTTATTTTAATCTTTGCACACAGTGTGATGATACGAGATGGTGTTAGGAGATTGTCACAGGGCACCACTCAATACTCCAAGCCACAATGAATCACACAAAAAATCACTTTGCTTCTGAGTGCCGGGCAGGGAACAGTCATGCACCATGTCAAAGTGGAACCTCTGTTTCCGGCACTTCCGTCCTATCGTCCTCTGATCACAAGTTGGCCTGGTAGGTCCTGCATGACCTGTGTCCGGTCAAACTTGCCGGAGCACTGTCCGGCCAAAATCGCAAAAACGAGCGGCTGCGCCTTGGACCTGTAGGCGATGAAGGTTTGAGAGATGTGCCAGTAGAGCAAGCGTAAGAAGCCCACGGTGTAGACCAAGAACCGAGCCGCCGCCAAGATTTTACTGGCCCTCGGACCGCCAAATACATTGACATGAAGCCAAACAGCCCAATAATTAAACACAAAATCATCGACGTGTGCGGGTGGGGCGGGTGGCAACAGGCAAAAACAATTGCTGACCATATGCATATAATTAGTATAATACGAATATAATATCGATAATATATATATATATTAGTATATGTTGGGACTTGGGCTGCATGATTTTGCAGTTTAGCACTTGAACAAGGATGATGCTTGTTTCTCAGACTTACATGATGATCTCTGGCTGAAACTGCCAGCCGGTCTCCGACTGGCACATAAATGTGCAAAATGATGCAACATGATGCAACAAACTCTTCAATCTTGTAAAGCAAAGGCTTCAGGGACCTTTAACATCCTTTAACCCCATCCCGAAATGCTCCCAGCATGCTGAGCACTCGCCGCATCTAGCAATCTGCCTTCGGCATACGCCTGTGCCAAGGCGCGTAGGGTCTACCAGCATGTCCGGATGGTTCAGGAAGCCTCGATCGAATCGAGGAACGCGGCGAGGAACCTCGCGGGTTCGTCTCCGGGTCTTCGTTCCCAGAGAGCGCCTTATTGGAAAGAATCAATAAGGTTATTGGTTTACATCTGAGTTATTGAAATGGTTGTTTTATTGGAGCAAACCAATAACCTTATTGGTTGTTATTTCAATAAGGTTATTGGTTTGTACCAATAAGGGTTTCAATCTTTAACCAATAAGCCTTATTGGTTGCTTCTGGCACATGTTGTAAGTAAGTGTTGATGTTAAACCAGAAATTGGCCCCACCAGTTCTTTGTGGCTCCAAGTCTTTCTTGCCAAAGGATGAGCCCTGTGAAAGGGCAGCCCTGTGAAAGGGCAGTGACAAGTGTGGAAATAGATGGGTTAGATATGGTGGGAAGGCCTCCCACCACTGATAAAGAAAGAATCCAAGCCTACTGGCAATACTTGGATTGCCCAACGCAGGGCTGCAATGGATGGCTGTGGAGGAGGCACACTACTGATGCAGAGTGGGGGATCAGGTGCTACAAGTGTGGGAAGAGTTGGAGGGATACCTACCTAGAACATGGGTGGAAGCTGTGGGACCCCAAGAATAAATCCAGATATGTGCCTTGAACTGACAGCTCCAGCTGCCTTGAATGCACTGCAAAAGTGCTGCCCTGAAGAAGGGCTGCCCTGAAAAAGGGCAAAAGGCAAGACAAACAAAAACACAACAGTTTTCACATGAAAAATGACAGGGGTATGGGGGAGTGTGTTGTCAGTGTTCTTAGTAGAATTTGCAGCAGCTTGTTTGTGGATGCAAACCTGACAACTTCACACTTCTGCAGCTTTGTCTTGTTCAAAATTTCCAGGCACTCAGAAGGGTGTTGCCTGACAGTCTTGCAGAAGGGTGCCTTGTGAAAAGGCAGAGCCTTGTGAAAAGGCCATGGTGCTCAGGAAAGCAGTCAAAAGAGGAGCAGGAGCTGGAAACAAAAACCCTGTCAAGAGACAGGGTTTTCCTGACTGTGACCAAGACAAACTGAGGCCATTGACTGCTACATCAGGTCCATGGGTGTGGCAGCCAGCTTTGACCTCCTGGAGTACAAACACTTACAAGCCCAACAAGCTGAGCAGCCAAAAGCTGTATATAAGTTGCACAAACTTGTGGAATCACTCTTGAAGGTCAGTCCTTCTGGGCAAATTAAGTATGAACAGCTGAGGCAAGCCTTGCAAGTGGCTTGCAACAGGTTTGGTGTGGAACTTTTGTCTCCACACTGGCCAGTGGAGTCCCAGTGGAGAGGCACATCTAGCAGGAAGGGCTGCAGATGCCCTATGTGTGTTGCTGAAACACTGGAGGAGGCTGACAGCCTCCCAGACTGCATGGGAGAAGTTTGGCAGGAAGCTTGAGGAAAGCCATTTCTCCCAGCTCCAAAGTCTTCCAGAATGATGAAGCCTGGGGGTTGTGAAAAGGAAAAAAGAGAGCTCACAGCACATGAGTGAAGTGACAGTGGATTCCTCTGGCCTGCCTGCTATGTTGAAAACTACCAGTGAGGAAGGTGATGAAAGCAGCCCAAGCTGCCCAGATTGTGACAGCAAGGACAGCCTGTTTGCTAGTCAACCCCCTGCTGGAAAACATCTTTGGAGGGCGAAGGCAGGAAAACCTGTGAAGAAAAGACCTGCCAAGAAGACATCTCCCATGAAGACATCTCCCATGAAGGCAGCTCACATGAAGGCTGCTGCCATGAAAGCACCCACCAAGGGTAAGCAAAAGAATGCAGGGTTGGCAGGTGGAGCAACAACCAGGATCCGCACTGCAACCCTGAGTGTTGGAGGTGGAAAGAACCAGTCATACATACAACATGTGCCAGGACCAGGCAATGCAAAGAGACTAATTGTAGCTTGCACAGGCAAGCAGGCTGCATCCCTCAAAGTCTCTCACAAGGCCATCATAGAAGAGTTGCTGCCCAAGTGGAAGGTCCCCAACACCACAAAGGGTGATATCCTCAAAGCTCGAGATGGCCTTTTCAAGAAATATGAAAAGTGAAGCCTTGCTCTACAGGCTCAGCCCTGCAAAAGGGCAGCCCTGCAAAAGGGCAGCTGTGCTATGCTGGTTTTGGTGCAAGCCTCCTTGCAAAAATGGCAGGCTGGCAGCAGGCAGCTTCAAGAAGCTTAGCCTCTTGCCTTCTGGAAAAAGCTTACCCCATTACCCTTTTGGAAAAAAGTTTCCTTCTTTTGTCATGAATAGAAAGCCTACTACATGTGTCATAGCAATATGTGTTCTGAATGTGTTATGTGCAATGTGTGTATCTGAACCCTTTCTCCATGCAGCTGCTTTTGTTCAAGCACTGACACACTGTCACAGTTTGATTGCAATTTCTTTTGTGGTAGCCTTGAAAAAAAGGCAAAGCCCTGCAAAAGGGCAGAGCCACAACATGGACGATGATGAACCTGACTTTGGTGGTGATGGAGATGAACTTGAAAATATAAAAGATACAAAAGTGGAAGCCACTGTGGAGAAGTCACCGCCAACAAGTGGTGACAACACAAGCCAGCAACCTCTCAGGAGGAGCTCCTCTGAGCATAAACAAATGAAAGATGAACCAGGTGAAAGGGGCGAGAAGTGGCAGCCCAGGGATTCATGGGAAGACTATGACTATGACTCCTGGGATGAGTGGAAAAGGGATGTGGGAATGGTGGGGCAACAAGAAGTGGTCCAACTCAAAAGGTGACAACTGGAAGCCTGCCCATGGCTGGCACAGCTGGGGTGGTGACAGGCACAGCAGCACCAAACAAGGTGGAAGCACCACTAGTGGTTCCTCAAAAGAAAGGAGAAGGCTGCAGCTCCTGGATGAACAGTACCCTGATGCTGATGAAGACACCAAAAGGCTGGCAGCCATGGGAGGTTCCAGGTTCAGAAGACTGGAAAGGAGGCTGGTAGAACAAGAAGAGGAAAGAAAGAAGGCAGAACATCTGCAACAGTTGGAGCAACAGGTGAAGCAGCTGGAGGAATGCAACTTGCAATGGCACTGGTTCTTCCAACAGCAGCAGCAGCACCAACAGCAGGCTGCATGGCATGCAGCTGCTTGGCAAGCTCAGGCCCAAGCCCAGGCAACTTCAGTGCCACAACAAGGCCCAACATTTTTTCCATTTCCATGCCCTAAAACACACAATGCTAGTTCAATGATGTGTATCACATGTTTGCTGCTGCCTTGCCACTCCTCCATGTCCATGCCAGTTGAAATTTGTGACATATGGTTGCTGTGCCAGCTGTCTTTTCCTGACCAGGTGGGCCCAAGGTAGCTGCAAAGGGAGCTGCAAAAAGACATGGCCAAGATGCACCTCACAGTTCCAGCTCCACCTCAGTGTCAAGCTCACAGTCTGGCACAGGCAAAGGCCTGCCTGTACATTTGTGTGCATTTGTGTGGACGCAGTCAATATGTTTTGCAACCCTGTATCTATTTGTTCTATTTTTGGGCAGGTATGGCCAAGGAAGCACCAAAGGCCAAATCCAGAGCCACCTATGCAGATGCAGTGGGGAAGGCACCAAATGATCAGAGGAGAAAAAAAGAAAACCCCCAGGTGGTGAACTCTGACAAACTGAGCCCTGGAAAAGGGCCACCAGAGCCCTGCCAAAGGGCCACTCCCTGCAAAAGGGAAATCAAAAGATGGCTGCAGCTGGGGCCTCACAGTGGCATGTGTGATGGGAAAATGTGAAAAAGGTCAAGTGGTGCATGGGTGATCCCTGGTGGGATTACAGGGGTTTGGCCACCAAGTTCAATAAAGGTGTTCATGGGCATTTTGGAAGTCCAGTCATGCCTCATTGGCCACTTCTGGAACTTTTTCATGCGCCTGTAGAGCTGGGCAGGTGGTTTGGTTCCAAGTGATGTGAGGTGCCTTCACCCACTGGCAATTACTTGTAGGAAATGTTTGGGGTGTCTTCACCCACACACATTTCCTTCTAGAAATTTTTGGTGCCCAAATGAATCCAACCTAGTGGAAAATATTTTTTTTGAAAAAACAAATCTGGTCCAAAAACTTGTGCCCATCATATCCCATCATATGATGTCATATGATGGTGAATGCCATCATATGATGGCCCAAACCCATCATATGATGGCCCCAACCCATCATATGATGGGTGTGGCCATCATATTGCAGCATATGATGTCATATGATGGGTGGGCATTTTTTGCAGCCATTTTGATCAAGCTCAAATACTCTTGCCCTGGACAGGGCATTTCTGAAAGTTGTGCCCTGCAAAGGGACATCACCAATGGGGAAAGCCATGAAGGCAATGAAGGCAATGAAATCTGGAGTCAAGAAAAAGGTGAAAAATGAAAGCCCTGAAAAGGGGCACAGCCCTGGAAAAGGGCCAAAAGGCATTTTGAAAAGGCCTAGCACAAAGCCAAGCCTCCCTTTGCCCAATGATGCTGGGCTCTCCCTTGATGAGAAGATGGAGCAGTTCAATAAGAAGACCAATGGAAACACCCAGGAGTTCCTTGACAATTTGACTGGCCCACAGAGGGAAGCCTTGTGGGGCAGGTTCAGCAGGGCCAGAAAGGCTGTCAAGGACACAAAGCTGGACAGCTTGTGGGACAAGCGCTGCAAGGGGGAGGGCTCAGACCCTCACAAAAAGCAGTTGATGGCAATCTTCCTCAAGACCAGGGGCAAACTTGCAAATGGCAACATGTATGCCAAAGAGCTGCTGGAGATCTCTGAGACCACTGGTGTCTTGGTTGTTTCTGTGTGCTCTTCAATCTTTGGGTTTGTTTCTTCTTGCCACAGCTGAGGCAGCAAGGAGACATCTGAGTGGGTGCCATTTGCTGTCACCCTACAGAGGTTTGGCTTGAGGGAGTCGGTGAGGAGGGTGCTCTGACTGCTACTTTCCCAAGCACACCTAGTGCCACATAAATGCCACATGTGCATTCTGATTCTTTCTCAGGTCCCAAGAGGGACAATCCTATGCAGGAAGGACACAAAGGACCTGGCAGAATGGCAGTTTGCCTTGGAGAAGGAAGTTGCTTTCAAAGAAACAAAGACCCACCATGCTGCCACTTTTGAAGCCAACCAGAAGATGGAGGCTCTGGACTGGATCAAAGCCAGGCAGCATGGGTCAATGGGTGTTGAAGATGGCTTTCAAGCTGAAGATGCCTTGTCTGATGTACTTGGCAGCAGAGACAAGAAAAACATGAAAAACAAGGAGACACTGGCTTTGATGGACAAGGACAGAAGTGATGAGGAAGAAGAGGAGGAAGGGGGAGAACCAAACCAGGTCAGTGCAAAGGCTGCACTCAACAAAGCAGTGGAAGATGCAGAGGTGCTGAGTGACCTGGGCAAAAGCAAAAGTAAGGATCAGGCAGCCAAAAGGGTTCTCAAATGACCAAAGTGATCAAGGATGTGAAGAAGCAGGCTGACAGTGCAGGGCAGAAGATCCTTGGTGCTGCCCTTGCAGAGCTAGAGAAGCTGTCCAAGAAAGGAACCAGCTTAAATTTGGAAAGCTGCAAGGACACTCTCTTGGATGCAGCTGCAGAAGGATGCAAAAAAGTGAAAGACACATGCAAGCTTCTGCCTTGAGAAAAGGCAATGCCTTGAAAAAAGGCAAAGTCCTCTGCAAAGAGCTTTGCAAGCCACCTGGCACCTTAAGATGGAAAACCGTGTTCATATGTGATGGCAGAGGGTTGGCTTCAGTCAGCCTTTTTTGAACCAACACCATGTTTCTGCATGTTTCCCTTTTATGAAAGCCTGTAGGCTCAAATACAGGAACATGCGCTGTAGCTCTGCACTAGAGCAGCCCTGGAAAAGGGCAGCCCTGCAAAAGGGCAGTATAGATGTCTAAACGGAAAAAAGAAAATATGAAGCAACAAGTGCCAACACCTCTCCAGAGCAGGAGCTTACCCCATTACCCTTTTGGAAAAAGTTTCCTTCTTTTGTCATGAATAGAAAGCCTACTACATGTGT